TGTCACCCTAAGCTTGGTAACCCCCCTTTATTGTTATTTGACCTTCTAACCGCATTTATATCTGGCCTTCCTCTAGTTTTCCTGCTTGTCTAACCACCGGAATATTCCCATCATGCTCTCCTGTCATCTGTGTAGCCCTCTCTGTCGCTCTAACTTGCAGAATTAATGGTAGCATGCCTGATGATGAGCTTTTTCGCTGCTGCCTTCACACAGGAAGGATCACTTCTTCCACGAGGAGACACATAATGACTCTTTCGCTCCGCCATCCTCCCTTATTTTCCCATGCCTGCAGCACCTGTGTACATTAGAAGATTGATGACTATATAACCTGCTGCCATGTGACATATAGACAAAACAATTGTATATAGACATTGTCATTACTGAAAGCACTACCAGCTTAGTTGTAGCGTTTTAGTTTTGTCTTCAAATTCTGAGTTGAAACCCTGCAATTTATTTTGTCAAATTCAGACAGAAAGTTAGGTACAGACTTATCTGTTAAGGCAATAAATAACGTACATGACCACACTTTATAGCGCCATAGCCACTGTGGTTGCACCAACTCGTGGTTAATATAAACCGTTAAGAACTGGATGAAACAAAGCGTCTGTCATAGGGCCTGAAGAATTAACCACAAGAAACACTGAAGATAACTTGCAGGTGCATTCAAACAGTGTTGTTTCAATTTGACACATCAATGTTTCCGGTAGTAAAAAAAAAAGAAAATAATATAGCTCAGGTAAATGGACAAATGCATTAGAGTCATGGCTTCATCTCTGGGAACTGTTTTATGTAACAATAGGAGGATATGTATGCTTCCGAGTGTAGAATAACCATGCCCAATATAGCATGGAACGGGTGACATGGATATCCATATACAATACAATCTGTTCATCGTAATGATAGTCTTTGATCAGAGAAAAGAAAAAGTGACACAATTCCTTATTTTACAATTAATGGTTATATTAGCTTAGCATAAGGACTTTAAACAGTCTGGAAATAGCTGGCATGGCTCTGTCCGATGCAATCTTTTTTAATTAAAAGCACCCGTAAAGCTACTGATTTAGTCATTTTTAAAGTTTGATTACTGTAAAGAGTAAAAACAACAATCTCTGGTCATACGGTTTTCCAGACAGGACTGTTTCTTGTCCGGGTGCAGTGACTTCTGCAAAACCAAATTTTTCTGATTTTACACCTTGGTATTTGCAAGAACATACATTGTGTTCATCAGCTTCAAAGGTGGTTTAAGGAGGATTTTATTACCTTTGGACATCGCTAACAGAGTCACCCTGTTTTCTGCTGGCGGTTTTTTCTCATGTACCCTAAGGGAGTGAATGTGCAATGCAATTCTCATCTAACCCTCAGTTGTATAGTTAAAAAGACAAACACCCTTTGAATATCCCAAACCCATTGACTCTAATTCAATTCTGGTAAAAGCAGTGAGAGCTTTCAAATCTGCATATACCGCTCTTCATGATGGCGGGAGAGCTTTGCAGAGTTTGGAATTCTTCCAGTGTTCAGACAGATGCCGTGATTGAGGAGCGCAATACTGGCAGAATCAGGACTGTCTGGCAGTCAGGCCGAGACAAAGGCTTGGTTCAGACTCACAAGTGGAGAGGAGGGGTGGGAGAGTAATGCTAATGTACTTGGGAGATAACGAAGAAGGGAGGGAGGAGAGGGGACGTGGGGTAATGCATCAGGGTCAGTGGGTCGCATTCCCTCATGGTATCGGGTGACATCACCACACGCGGGTGGAGGGAGAGAAAGCTGACGCAAAGTCAAAGTACCACTCTGCAACGGATGATGAAGAGGCTTTTATTGCACAGGGAGGCCACTGTACTGTGTTTCCCCAACACACACACCGGCCTACGTTAAGACATCAAAGCATCCAGAGCAGAGCCACTGTGAGACTAAACATAGAAACAAGGACAAGCTAATGCACCCCTGCATCCCAGACCTGTGATCCATCAGGTCTTTCAGCCTTGTTTGTGTTCTTTCAGGCTGCTGTGTGTTTTTATGTGTGTGTGTGTTTGTGTGTGTGTGTCGTCTGTCTGCGTGTGGCCAGAGTCTCTCAAACCCTGACCGCGGAGACGAGTGGGAGATGTATATTTGTATTGGAGCCCTGGGGAATGTCAGACGAGGTGAGAGAAGACGAAAAACGAGAAAGATTGGGGTGCTCGTTTTTTAAGAGTAGACAGTGGAAGACATACGAGGTGAGGACGAGGGGAGAGGAGGAACAATGATTTGAACATTTCCCACGGGAGTGCTTAATTCAGATTCATGCACTTAAGGGTGTACAGGAAGGGCATTAACCAGGAGAACAGAGAAAGTCATGCAGAGGAGGAACGAGAACATCCACAGGATTCAATATCTGAACCACATAACTCACCCCCAAACAGCGTCGCTACTTTTCTCTTTCCATGACTTTTCTCACCTCAACCCTTCTCTTCCGGCACATCACTCACTTTCTTACACTGCGTCCTCCCCCCTCTCGCTCTGTTTTTACATCCCTTTTCCTGCACTCTGAGTCAGCACACTAGCCGCTGCCTGACTCCTAACCAGATCAGCCCTCTGCAGCCTTTCATTAAGATAAAAGCTCAGGCTGAGTCACATTGCATCGATGCACGACAAACCACAAAAAAGGAAAACCCCATACACACATTGACAAGCAAAGAGGGGAGGACGTAAATGGATTGAGTCTGTGCTTCAGCCACAGGGAGTACCGATGCCCACAAACATAAACAGCTACTTCTTTCTCCAGGTTTTGATAAAGGGATACATTTAGTAGAGGAGGTGGAGTGGAACAAAAGGGGAGAGAGCAAAAAAAAGGAGATAGGTAGATAGGATAGATAGGATAAACAGAAAGACCAGATTAAGAGCATCGCACAGGGAGTGTGGGTTCTCCCTTATCTGGTGACCATCTGAGTTGCAGTTGTAAGGGCAATGAGGACAAGAGGGAGTAGCCAGGACACGGAGACGGTCACCGGCAGCATTTCTTCTGGCTTATCTCCAAAATCAGACATTGATATTCAGTGACACAAACTGCGGTCGGGGGATTTACTGTTTGGGCTTGCAGACAGGGGAGACACTGGCTGGTGGCTGGGGAAAGTGGTACAACTCAGACTAAATAATGTGTCTTCAAAGAGAGCCAGAAAGCACTTTCTCTTAAGGCTGTACAAAGAGTTTCTGTAAGGAGCCATGTGAAAGTTATCGGGTTGGGGAGGGGGAGTGTGCTACAATGTTTGAAAAACTAATCCTTGAAAGAGTCACTAAAAATGTTTCGACTTTATTCATACAAACTTCTGTGTTTTTAAAAGGTTGTATTATGTCATTAAATCACATGTTAAAATGAGCACCTCATTGGAAATGATAGTTAACATAGTTGTCGTGTCGTTGTTTTATCAGACTTGAGTGTCAGTGACTAAATGAACAAGAACAGGCGCAGCTCAAGGGAAGGCTTACATAAAATATAAATATGGTTAGAACATGTTGAAAGACCTGCTCTTACAAATATATTCAGACTCCTTCAGAAAAGGGTTAACACAAAGAAACGACCCTCCCCCTTTCGACTCCTTCCTAATAATGTTTCTACAGTCCTTAGTGGATACTAGAGGCTTAAGTGGATGAAACAGAAAAGACTATTTAGATTCTATCTTTTCCACATCAATAAAGCTTTTAGAAACAGAACATCAAAGGATCAATGACAAGGAAATGGGATGAGTTCCTTTAATATTATTTTTGCTTTATTTTAACAAGTTCTCAGCTGCTTACATCAGTCTACTACAATGCTATTTTCATATCATGTTTTGTTTTACTCGATTGTATACCTAAAAACGTCTGCACTCTTCGATGTTTATATCTTTTAATACATAATAATAAATGTTTGACTTTCTTTTTATAATTATTTGATGTGCATTGTTGGCAGGAGCTTGAAATTGCCTTTGGGATTGCCTTATTAGTTGCCTCAGTCCTCTTGCTCTGTAGCTGTAGCAGAAGTGATTGGCACCGGTGAAGAAATGTTCCCAGATGTCTTGGTTCAGGAAACCGTTGAAAAGTTCCACAAAAAGGGTTTCAAAATATATTTTTCTTGCCTTTTTCTAGAGCATTGTATTTCTTCTTTCTCAGGAGAGGCTTTAAATCAGTCAACACCATCTCCATCTCATGTAGTGGAACTGAAAAAATTAAATCTATATCAAACCAACTTTCTGTCTGTCTATGTCCTTCTCTTGAGCACCATTGGCTGACAACCAGTGTGTGATTGATTACAATTCCTTGCCCAGGAGGAAATCTAACAGTGTGACCACCTGCTGGGGAGGGTCAAATCCCTCAGGGTCCGGTCAGTCAGACACAGAGGAGTCATGGTCTGTTAATCTGTGTGCCTGTGAGTCAATGAGTGACAGGGAGAGTCTGCACTTGAACAAAAATGGACTGTATTTCTAATGTTCATAAAAGCTTCCATTTCTACTTGTGTGCTGACCTAGATCCAAAAGTGATAAACCACAGCCCTGTAGCCACCAAACACATCTCCACCGCTGCAGTACCCCCCAGCGGCCACGCCGTCCATTAACCCAGCAATATTCTTCCTATCACCATCCCATTGTTGCCGGACAGGAACCGCTCCATCAGATTACAGGATGTTAGGTGCAGACGCACAATCTTACTTCCTGTTTGCCCAGGTCACACAGATCGGGTGTCAACCCTCTGTCGTCTAAAACCATCAGCTCCGTTCCCCCCTTCATCCCCCTCTCTCTGCACCCGAGGGGGGCACTGACCTTATAAATGTGTCTATGTGACAGCTAACATCTGGTCAAATAAACGTCTACTGGACGTCTAAGAATACACAGCTCAATGTTGAATATTCTTAAAGACTTGATTTAGTGTCATGGGAAGAGTTTGATAAAGGCGACTACTTGAATTTTTATTTTGGACTCGTTTATGTACTTCCTGAGAGTGCTGAAATTAGTGATATGAACCTTCTGTATGAACACACTGGGGCCACTCACTTGTTTTTCTCCAGGTGTAGCTTGAGCTCATGGCCCTCAGCGGAGATCAGAACCTGGGCCTCTGCAGGATGCTGGGCCGGAAACAAAGATTGCAGCAAGTTGTCAACAAAAACTGACTCACAAACAAATGGCAACATTATTATGTTTATTTTATATTTATAAGGTTGTAGATCTGAAAAAAAGTTGATAGAAATTTGGTTTGGCGAGGTCACACATCAAAAACCATTCATTCATACATAAGACAGGAATAATAGCGGAACATCAAGGATTAAGAGTAAAAGACAAGAACTGATGTGCATAAGTGTGTCTGCATCTCACTTTGATACTACTGACTATTTTTAAAAGAAAGGATGACAATAAAAAGAGGATTAGTCACAGGATTAGAAGAGTCATTAAGAATATGATCCTTTCTTTGTTAGTCTAATGGTTTGGACTACAGTAAGGGGTGGTAGCTCCTCGCCTGTGTTAGTGATATAAGTGAGATGAAGAGAGAAAGACTCACCTCTTCGTGGGCAGACCTCCTGTGTCTGTGAGGATGCAGCCATGTGGGATAAATCATCTCATAACTCTGTACCTGGTCAAGGATGCTCCTCACTGAACCCTGCTCATCTCCTGATGATAAAACAGAAACAAAATGACATGTAACCATGTTGTAAATGCTCTACAGTATGCTTTATCACCGATTTAGAAAATATAACATATGCATTGGAGGATTGACCATTTTAACAAATAAAACAAACTATTTTGTACATGTTGCATTCCCAACCCACATGTGGGGTGTTGCATTTAAAACCACACGTCTTCGAATGAAATGCAATACAGATAGACGTGTTCAAATCAGATTTCAGTCATTGCTCCAGGAGAACTCACCTTTGTAAACAGCGCCTTCAGGCTCAGCAGCCTGAACACAGGGCAGTGAAGCAATGAGCCACAGACACAGGGAGGACAGCACCGCACCGGCAGGAGGAGAGCGCGCTCCTCCCGGACGCATCCTAACAACGCGCGGCTCCAAATGAACAATCTGCCGGACTGAGACATCAATGTGCGCGGAGCCGAGCCTGGATGGTTCACATCAGATGGAGAAAACCCCGCCGGTGTGACATCGCGATAAACTGCGTCTGAATGAGATGCTTGCAGACCGCGGGGTGCACATCTCTCACTCTCAACCCCTCCCCTTCATGATCACACACATGCGCGCACACACAAGGAGAGGCACACTGGCACGAGGGAAGATAAGACAGCATGTGATGAAAATAAGTATAGTGAGAACAATACATTGAAATCACGATTACCGAACACTAGGCCTACAATGCAACAAGCGGTGTGGAGCACTTCCATGGAGCTCTATCTAACATTGTAAAATAAATAATGTGTTTATAATCTTTATTCTAAATCTATAATAGTGTTCAAAAGCATAAAAAACGTAGTTAGTCAGTATACAACAAAGCAGATTTACATAGTTTAAGGGGTTGTTTAAGGACTATCTGAATTGTTCTTCCTTATCTCTTAAAGGGGTATTCAAGCAATTATATTATTGTACTTTTATAAAGTTGGTGTACACACAATAAGCATATTTGAAAAGTTCCCTTTTTTTAAATTGAAGCAGTAGTGATGAAGATATCCTCACTTTTAGTTATCTTACTATACTTTAAGCTCACAAAATGCTGGATCCTACATTTCCCATCATGCAACATTTAACTTTTCTTTCTTTGGACCTTCCATGCCTGATTAATACCTACAGTCTATCATTTTTGTGATGCAAACTTTTTGTAAAAAATGGTAGTTTCCAAGTCCAAGCGGAGATCAACATGATGACATCACTGCGGCATCTTCGCGGTTATCTTATCCCGGTTTAGAGCCGCTGAAGACGTTCACTGTTTTCACCGCCTTAGTATCACTCATTTCTGTGAAGCTGAGTACAATTGACTTCTTTAACTAGACTATATAGCCTACTGCTGCATTCACACAATGTCGCCAGAGACAAAAACTGGAAAATTAATCATTTAGACTTATAGGTTTTTAATGAAATTAACCAAGGAATGTTTTGTTGCCTTCACATTACCAAGTCGTTTTTTGCATTTAGTTTTCTTTCAATTTACAACACTAACCACATGTTTATAAATGATACCGTAATCTTGGAATCCTTGAACCTTCATTAAGAATGCAGTAAAGTTGTATTGGATCGTCATTTTGTAGGAGCCAGGGTCGAGCAATATGATGTACAGACGGCTTGCTTCTCAGTGGCCATTTTACCTAAAAGAACTGAGGACAGGAGATGATTTACAGGAGCTATTAAAGTACAATATTAAAGAAGGTGTTTAGAGTATTTCCTATTTTTTACAACCAGTATCCCAATGGGATTAGGTTCAGACCCTGCATGTAAACACATGCTCTCTTTAAATAACTACACCGCTTGCCTCAACACGTTCTGGTTACTAAGATACCTTCTATACAATAGAGGCATTTCTTGAGTCATTGTCATGTTGGCAACTGTTACAAGTGAACCAATCTAAGCATACAGAAAAAGTCATTTAGAAAAGATGAACTTCTGCTTTCATAATGTGCTTTTGTACATGTTACTTAATCGAAAATGTAGCATGTTATCATGCTAGTTTGAAATGATTTGTTAAAGTGTGAATAGATTTGAATCCTAGTTACATAAAGTTCAGTAGAGAGAGAGCTACATGCGTTGAGACCAAAAATACAGCTAATACTCAACAGTAACTGAGCCTACTACAGTATTAAAATACAGTTGGCTTGTCCACTTCAATCCTTCAAAAGCCATTCATACTGAGCCGGTCATTTATAAGTGCGATGATAAATTAGCCTCGGAGCACATGTCAGGGGATAGAGTGTATGCAGGGTGTGTGAGGTATTCTTAGCTCTGATGACAGTGCAGGCCGCCAAATCCATTCACATCTCTAAATGGCGTCCTGGCCCAAGACAAGGCCACTTGCTCCTGCCAAGGTATTAGCTTCTGCTTTACTC